TCCCTCAGTCCCCAGCAGCCCCAGGCCTGCCTTGCTTTCCCGGCAGGCGACAGCTAAGCTGGGTGTGTGCCTACAAAGCCTGTCCTGACCAGCCCTCCCTCCGCTCCCCATGTTTGTTTCCTGTTGCCTGGACACTGACTAGGAAAGGGGATGGAGTGTGGGGAAGGTGGTGCCAGCGGGGGCAGGGCTCAGAGCACCACACATCGCCCAGGGCAGGAGAGCTACATGCCCAACCTTCCTCCCTCTAACAACCCACTTACCCCCAGCCCCCGCAAAAAAAAAAAAAAAAAAAGGACTCAGAAAAGCCATGTGTTTCCAGAACTTTGGACACGGGGTCAGGCTGTATAGGAGCTGGGGCAGGAGATATCGGAAGGGGCATCATGTTAAAAAAAATCCTGAACTTGTTTAGTGTGGTCCCAAAGCACTGGGGATGCACAGGGAGACATATACTGACTCAGTATTAAGAACTTTCTGAGCACCGGGGCTGATCTGAGATGGTTTGGGTTGTTTTATAACTCTCAGGAAGTGCAAACAAGCTCAGACTCTCCGACCGTTTGATTTAGAGATTACAAGGGCAGATTACAAGGGCGGTTCAAGCAGCAGTGGGTCCTTTCCAGCCTCGAGATTCTATGATCTGGTGCTCACACCCATTAGCTCAGGGACAAACAGTTTTCCCCTGGGGCTGTGGGAAAGCTCCTTAGCTCTGAGCAGTTTCTCCTCCCCCCACTCACTCCCACCCCCTTGACTTCTATTTCTAAGAGAAGGGGACTTCTAAAGAAGCCACCCAAAACCTCAACCTTGTTCCTGTCCCAGCCTCCAAGTCATCAAAGGGCATTGAGATAATGGTGACCCCTCTCCCAAGAGGACATGGAGAATGCGAGGAGGAATGCAGAGCTTGCACTGCCAGAACATTCCAGCTGGGAGAGTGGGAGCTAAAACAGAGGGAAGGTCTAAGCCAGAGGTTCTCAACCTGTGGGTCGCGACCCCTTTGGTGTCAAACGACCCTTTCACAGGGGTCGCCTAAGACCATCGGAAAACACATATATAATTACATATTGTTTTTGTGATTAATCACTATGCTTTAATTATGTTCAATTTGTAACAGTGAAATTAGGGGTCACCACAACATGAGGAACTGTATTAAAGGGCTGCGGCATTAGGAAGGTTAAGAACCACTGGTCTAAGCTATTGAAAGCCAGTCAAATAAAGAATAACAGCCTTTTCTGGGACTCGAGATTTCTGTGATGTTGGGAATGACCTTCTTCCAGGTAATGTTGGTGTGATTTGCCAATATAGATCTCAGAGTATGGAAGGGAGAGAGAATGGGGGGCAGGTCACCTTGACAGCAGCCTAGGCTAAGGGCGAGACCTCTGGTCTGGATGAACCCTCTCCTCCCCCATTTCTCCCCCAGGCTCCTGCTCTGGAGAAGGACCAATCAGGATGGATGTGAGTGAGGAACTCTATGGGCTCCACTCTCAGACTTCTTGTCTGAGACTCCAGCGTCTTCCTTCCACTGTCACCTAAACAGCTGCCACGCTTCTTCACCCCAAAAGCCCTGCCTGGCTTTGAACTCTCTGAACCCCTTTCATCCTGGCCTAATCAAAGTGTTTTTACTGAGACCAATGAATGCCTGGACCCAAGTCACAGATGTGGATGCTGAGGCTCTCAGAGGAGCTGGAGAACATCCCAGCCCGCTCCTGGGTCAGGGACAGCCTGGCTGAGCCACCAGGGCAGACTGCTGAGTCATGACCAACTGGAGCTGCTGCTTCGGCAGGTGGGAAGGCCCCGAGACAGCCTCCAAGTCACAGCAGAGCATGACACAGGCGACAGGCACATGTGGGCAGGTGGGACATGCAGTCCAGCCAGGAGCTGGAGGACATGTGATCAGGCGGTCATTGCATGAAGACCTGATTCAGTGCTGCATGGCGGAGCCCAGCCACTGGATTTTCCAGGCCATACCATCCCAGGCTGACATTGCAAGGACAGGAATTGTCAGGAGGGGAGGCAGAAAAAAGGGAGCTGAGAAGCAATCGGGGACTTTATTTTCCCTGCAAGCTTCTCACACCTTTATATCAACCAAGGGAACGCACCCAACAGCGCTCCCTACTCATCCTTACCTTTCCCCAGCACCGCTCTTCCCTTTTCAATTTCCCAGACACCCCTGGCTGATTCAGTGGCTTGGAGGGGCATGCAGAGCTCATTTAGTCCCCTGAGAATTAGGACTACAGTTTCCAACCTCCAGCAACGAGACTGAGGCTAGTTGTTCCTGAGCTGGCAGGTCCACCGTCTTCAACAAATTCCAATTTTCTCTCTTCTTTGTCTCAGGGTCTCACCCCTCCCCTCTATGAGTTGGGCTCACACAGTCCCCTGTTGGCTCTGCCAACAGTACCACGCCTGACCCCACCAGCCCCCATTAACAGCAGGGATCTTCACCCTGTAATTATTCCCACTGCCATTCATGAGTGAGGGCAGTGGAGAGTTTATAAAAGATGCCCCGATGTGGCCGGCTGGCCTCAGATGCCAGCTGCTGGCCCGGCTGTTGGGAATGTCCTACTTTTAGGAACAAGGTTGTGATAAGTCGGGCCAGTCCTGAAGCCCAAGGAAGCCCGTGCAGAGCTTCTCGGGAATCCAGAGGGAAGAAACTGAACCTCTCTGCCACACCATGAGTCAATTCCAAGAATTCCTTGATGGGGAGAAACCCTGAGGGCTGGACTCTGAGCTTCTCTCCCAAACCAGTTCACCTGCTCAGAGGTGACTACACGCCTCCATCTGAAGCCAGACCTTGATTCATGTAACCCCTGCCGCGTCCAAGCCACGTCGAGACAGTCTCACTATCAGCCCTTGGGATCTGCCAGGCCCTGCAGACCTGCATTTTCACCACCAGCAGCAGTTCCGGTGAAATGCTAGCCTTGCTTTCAACCTATGAACTTGGCTCTTTTTCTTTTTTTCTCCATGGGCTCAGAAATTAGCAGTGTGCATGCACCCTCTTTTCTCCTTGTCCTGTTCTCCAAGGAGCCCAACCCTCCCAGCCCTGAGATGGATGGCTTATGTGAGGAGCCGAGCAAACCCCAGGCACCCAAGGCCATGTCTGGCTTTCCTGGCAAGAGGGTCCCCTGAAACGGGTAGAGGCTCACTCCTTGGTCTCTGCGGGTACTAACCGTACAATAGGTGCCGCTCAGAGAGAGCGTAGGCAAGTAAGCCAGACGCAGGAGGGGCCACAATCCGCAGTGGCATTGCCAGGTCCTCTCTCCCACCCGAGCTGGGTACCACACTTTCCAAGACCCCTGGGGAGGAAGATGGCAGCTTCCTTAGGGAGGGGGCATGCACGTAGGGGTACTGAGCAGGGAAGGTGAAAGGCCTCTTCCCCAAACAGCCGGTAGCCCCTTGCTGGGCAAGGTGACAGTCTTCTCGGGTGAGAAAGGTGGGGAAGGCGCCCAGGGATGCTGCAGCCTCAGAGGAAGAGGAAGCACAGGAAGCAGCTTGCCGGCTCTCCCTGGGTCCTATGAAAAGAGGACTCTTGCCCGAGGCCCTTGTAACCTGGCATTGTATGTTGTAAACACAACTGCCTTCTGCCGGTAGCTGTCTCCACCTCCTCTAGTGCAGGCCCCACAGAGGGAGACAAGACTGGGCTCTGGATTTGAGACATGAAACACGAGGGCAGAGGGGAGGGGAGCCATTCGGGATGGGAGCTGGGTGGAAGCACTTTCCCCCAAAGGGTGCACAAATGGGGCAAGGTACCACGCCCAGAAGCTAGCACCTCAGCCCCGTGGGAGCCAGATAATGGGGTCTTCCCCAAAAGGCTGGGACTATGAAATCTGCTGGGAGCAGCTGGGGGGGTGGGGGGGGACACAAATCAAGAACAGACAGAAACAAGGAGAAGTTTCTGTGAGGGTGGAGCTAGGTCTGCTGAGCTCACTGAGTGCCTGGACCATCCCTAGCACATCCTTGGGACTCGGGAAGTGTGGAATGAGCGAATGAATGGATAGAGCAGTGGTCGGCAAACCGCGGCTCGCGAGCCACATGCGGCTCTTTGGCCCCTTGAGTGTGGCTCTTCCACAAAATACCACATGCGGGCGCGCACGTACAGTGCGATTGAAACTTCGTGGCCCATGCGCAGAAGTCGGTTTTCGGCCTGGGCGAGTCTATTTTTAAGAAGTGGCGTTAGAAGAAGGGGGGGGGTGTCGGTCGGGCCACGGGATATGCAGCGCGGGGGAGGTGCCAAATATCAACAGTACTTAAACTATATAGGTAGGTTAATAACAATGTACCTACCTATATAGTTTAAGTTTAAACAATGTGGCTCTCAAAAGAAATTTCAATCGTTGTACTGTTGATATTTGGCTCTGTTGACTAATGAGTTTGCTGACCACTGGGCTAGAGTATTAGCACAGGCAGCAGTGGCTTCAGGGAGCGCCACTCATCAGAGTGAGGTGGACTAAGCATTGCCCAGCCACTGAGTGACGGGGCAGCTGTGTTTGGGTGAGGGGACTGGGCCACAGGGTGAGCAGGGACCCTGGGTGTGCCCTGCTGAGGGACGGCAGTGTCTGTTGAAAGGCTGTGGCAGGGCAGGGCTGAGACAGGTGGGTGAGTCCGGGTTCAGACACCACCCTCTTCACAGATGTGGTCTGAGTCATAGGCGTGAGCCCAGAAGAGCTCTGTTTCTAATGGCCGAGCGCTTCCTCCCCATCCACCCAGCCCCTCCCTGAGCGCATCTCCAGCTCCTCGACTCACCCCTGGAATGCCGGGGGCTGGGCCTGCACTGGAGGCAGAGGCTAGACTGCGCTGAAAGCTGACATGATGGCAGCATCCCAGAGGCTCACCAAAAGGCCAGGAGACACCAGAACCAAGGGACCGCCGGGCTGAGCAGGACAGTGTGGAGAGCATCCCTGCATCTGGCCCCTGAGCATGGCCAGGCACACCTGGGTCTCCTGGAACCTATTTTGCTGCACGTGCAATCCCCTGGAGTAGCCACATGCCCACAGAGGACACGGAGCTGCTGCTTAGAGTAGAATAGATTTAATCTGTAACTACTAAACGTCTAGGTTAGCGGCAGTCACGGACATCCAGGGCCTGGGCGGAACCTCCCCCTGGAGGCACCCAGAGTAGCTGGAGGCACCCTCAGCTCACAGAGGTGGCGGGCAGGATGTTGGCTTTGCGCTCAGCTTCGATGCAGTACTTCTCGGGGAGGCCGGTGGCCCTGCGGGGGACACGGGGAGGGTGTAAGGGGAGGGGCACCAGAGAGGAGGCAGCGGGGAGTGGGTGCGCTTTGGGTGGGGTTACAGACCTGGGACCCTGCACCCCCCCAACCCCACTCCCAGGATTCATCCCCCAAACATGTTCCTGTCAAAGCCCCAGCATCTTGCCCAGTAGGTCCCAGGGAGCCAGGAGGACCCGGGCCCCCATATCCTGCTGGAGCCCCGTGCAGACGGCAACACCCCTGGGCGCCTCTCTCGTGCCCTGCGATCCGGGAATCCCAGCTGCCCGGCCCTTCCGCCGCTCTGGGGCCCGGAAGAGGAGCGGGGAAGGGTACCTCAGCTCTTCGATCTTCTTCTTCTTGACGTCATTGATGCGCTCGCTGCGCCGCTGGGCCTCCTCCTTGAGGCGCCGGCCCTCCTCGAAGGCGGCGATGCGGTCCTGCACCAGCTTCTGCTGGTTCTCGCGCACCTGGCGCCGCAGCTCCTGGGCGTGCTGCATGCGCTCCGCCGCCCTCTTCTCCTCCGCCAGCCTCTCCTTCTCAATCTGCTCCCTCTGAGCCCTGGCGGGGAACACGGGGTGTGGCATGGGCTGGGCTGAGCTGCCCCCCATTAGGGGGCGCCTCCTGGGCCGGGGCCTCCGGGGGATGTGCTTCAGGGACCACGCTCCAGCCCTCTCCTGGGGTCACTCACACCCCAACAAAGGTACCAAAAGCACCGCTTCACTTATTCACTTCCCTCTAGCCATCTCCTAGGAGGCCGTGCTTTGGAAATAGGAGATGGTGGCTATGGCAGAGGCTCCTGGCGCTGGAAGACACCCACCATGGTGGTCACCTGGCCCTGGAGACACTAGATCTAGATAGCAGCCTGGGACAACGGGTAAAATGGAAGTTTCCAAAGGGTTGGTCTAGCCTTAAAAACTGACTACTAAAGCCCAGCCAGTGTGGCTGGCTCACCGGTTGAGCGTTGACCTATGAACTAGAACAGGGGTCCTCAAACTACGGCCCTCAGGCCACATGCAAATACAAATATTGTATTTGTTCCCGTTTTGTTTTTTTACTTCAAAATAAGATATGTGCAGTGTGCATAGGAATTTGTTCATAGTTTTTTTTTTTTTAACTATAGTCCAGCCCTCCAACGGTCTGAGGGACAGTGAACTGGCCCCGTTTAAAAATTTTGAGGACCCCTGAACTAGAAGGTCACAGTTCAATTCCCAGTCAGGGTCAGGGCACATGTCCAGGTTGCAGGCTCTACCCCCATTAGGGGGCGTGCAGGAGGCAACTGATCAATGATTCTCTCTCATCATTGATGTTTCTATCTCCCTTTCCCTTCCTCTCTGAAATCAATAAAAAAAATATTTTTTAAAAAACTGACTACTATGTATGCTTCAGAAGAACAAAGCAAAGAACAAACAAATGGGTCAGTGACAGAAGCGGACCTTTCATTTCTTTCCATTAATGTTTAGTGCCCGCTAAAGGCAACACAGCTATCCAAGGGCACAGCGGCTGGGGAGGGCACACAGGGAGAGGAGACTGGAGCCCCGGGGCAGAATCTCTGGGGGCCGTAAGGATGCTGCCTTCTTTACCAGGTACCCAGAGACCGTGGCACAACACTGAGGGCAGGGAGGCTGCAGAGCCAAAGGGGTCACAGCCAGTTGGGACAGGCTGGGGGCCCACAGTCCAATAAACGACCAGGAGCCTGGCTCTGCCGAGGACGGAGATTCCTATGGACCTGCTCTATCTCTGGCCAAGGCTCCGAGCCTGGTCCAGCAGCAACTAACAGGCTGTACCAAGAACAAGAACCCAGCCCTGGCTGGTTTGGGTCAGTGGATAGAGCGTCGGCCTGTGGACTGAAGGGTCCCGAGTTCAATTCCAGTAAAAGGCACATGCCCGGGTTGTGGGCTCGATCCCCAGTAGGGGACGTGCAGGAGGCAGCTGATCAATGATTCCCTCTCATCATTGATGTTTCTATCTCTCTCCCCCTCTCCCTTCCTCTCTGAAATCAATAAAAACATATATTTAATAATAATAAAAAAAACAGGAACCTAGAGCATGTAGACCAAGAAAGTCGGGCTGTGCCACTCGCTCTCTACTCATCTGAGCATAATTTCAGTAATTGGTATCGTTACCGCCCCAATTAAAATCTTGTTTGCTTTGTTTCCTTTGGAAATGTTCTGATCTTATCATCTCACGATCTCATAGAGCAAAAATGGAGTCATTCCCAGTTAGACCAGAAGGGTTAGAGCCGGAGAACCCCAGGGGCCACGTCCAGGGGCAGATCTGCCTGATAGAAACCAGAGCAGCTAGGACCGCTGACCACTTTGAGGCAGGGATCCTGAGAGACGTGAACGCTTAGCTTTCATTTATGTGTCACAGTTATCACTGGTCCATCAGAGAAAACAAAAAAGGATAAAGAGCTGGGGAGGCAGGAGACATGGATAAGTATAGGTGAGGCCCATCTCAACGAGTCTCTCACATCCTTCCTACATGCATGGGCAGGAACGGTGTTTTATTCGTCCCTAACATGTCCCATAGCGCCCAGCACAGAGCCTTGAATTCATGTGCTTAGTACATATCTGTCAACTGAAGGGCAAAGACCTCCCTTAAAGCCCTGCTCCAACGACTCACAACCGTTAGTGTTTGAAGTTTTCTTCATCTCTCCTCCCCTTCCTGCTGCAATTTCATCCCTAACTGGCAGGGGGACACGGAGGGGGGCGGGGATGGCAGAAGGGACAAGATTCATACCTTTTCTTACACCTTCAACACTCCCAGATACATAATCCCAATAATCCCCAATTCCTTCAACACTTCCAGGTTTCCAATTCTCTAATCAGAAAATTCTTGGCTCGCCCGGCCGGCGTGGCTCAGTGGTTGAGCCTCGGCCTATGAACCAGCAGGTCACAGTTTGATTCCCAGTCTGGGTTGAGGGCTCAACCCCTGGTGGGGGGCTTGCAGGAAGCAGCCAATCAATGATCCTCTCTTGTCATTGATGTTTCTCTCTCTCCCTCTCCTTTCCTTTCTGAAATCAATTTTAAAATATTTAAATCAAATAAAATTCTTGGCTCAAGTGTCTGAAATATTTCAATCATCCATCTGGTTAGAATGACCCCACCCACCCGGGCAAGGTGGATGTGGATGTGTATCTGTCTGTGGGCATCCCTGCCACAGTGCAAGGAAAGAGAGCGCACTTTCCACCCCTCCTACCGAAGGATCCTGTCGAATTCATCCCGGTCCCGTTGCACCTGAACTGCCAGGGTGTGCTCCTTGAACGCCACCTGCTCCTGCCGAGTTTTCCGCAGTTTGGCCTCTGTTTCCATCTTCTTCTGCGCATTTTCTTTTTCCTTTCTGCGCCACTCTCTGTCTGCAACCTCCTGGTTGCGCTTTGCCCGCAAGGTATCCTGGGAAAGGAGAGGGCGGGGAGACCAGTGAGGGTGCAAAACAATCTCCCAGGGACCAGGTGCCTGGGGAAGACACCCCTTCACAGACTCCCACACAGCCTGAGAAGTTTTGGGAATTGATCAATGATTTTCAGTGGATGAAACTGCAGCAGGGAGATGAAGACTGACACTAACACAGCTGCTTTGAGAAGCTGCGTGAATTTCTCTAGTAGCAAGGTTATTCTAGGAAAGAATAAATGCAATCCTGTCATGGGACTTTCAGGGCAGCCGGCCGGTGTGGCTCAGTGGTTGAGCCTCGACCCATGGACTGGAAGGTCATGGTTTTGATTCCTGGTCAGGGCACATGCCCAGGTTGCAGGCTCCATCCTCAGTAGGGGGCATGCAGGAGGCAGCTGATCAATGATTCTCATCATTGATGTTTCCATCTCTCTCTCTCTCTCTCTCCCTCCCTCCCTCTCTCTGAAATCAGTAAAAATATATTTAAAAGTAAAAGAACTTTCAGGTCAGAAGGTACCCTGAGGGATCATCTTGTCCTTCCACCTCACTCATCCCAATGCTTTTCCTGGACCTCAGACACCTCCAGGTAGTCCTGCAACTGCTTCTAATTTTAAAAACTGCTAATGGTGGAGATGTTATGGTTTCCTCTGGGAACACATTTCAATGATTAGTTAAACTTGAAATTTCTTTATAAAACAGTCAAAAACTTTCTCTTGGACCTTAAGCCCATAATGCCTTGCTGCCTTAGACACTAGAAGCAGGCCGGCCCTTCACTTTTCGATGACAGGGGTCTCGATAATTCCTTCTAAATCTCCACCCTCCAGGCCATCTGATAGGCTGCCACAGGAAGAGGTAAGGGAATGGAAGAGTTGGGAGGAAGTAGAAACTAAACAGGTACCTGTTCTGCCAGGTAATCCTGGGCCTTTTCTTGCATGACCCTCATGCGGGCGATCTCCTTCTCTTTCTCCCTCCTGATTCTCTCCTGCTCAGCCTCAAACTCTGCTTCTCGAGCCTGCCAACAAGAAAGGCTTTGTAGGGTGTCTCCCATGCCCCAGCCTTGCAGAAAGAAACGGAGCCCCCGCAGCAGTCTGTCCCGTATCTCCCCATCACCTGACTCCTCCCTGTACAGCGAACTGACTAGCAATGCAAGGACATGAAACCAATTAGCAAATTTGTAAAACTCTTTCTCCTGTGTTAGCCCAGAGGGTCCTCGCATCTCATGAGATCGATATTGTAGATGGAGAAACTGATGTTCACAGAGATTAAGGGTCCTGCCCAAGACTGCATACGGCTAGTCAGCAACCAAACAGGCTTTGAATGCAGGTTTCCTGAGCACAGCCTTCATGCTCCTTCCAACTTCACAGCTTCCAAGTTACAAGGCCACTGGGCCAAGTTTCTAAAAGTAACAGCTGTGGCTCCCTGCCTGTCTTGTAAAGTTTAGCGGGTGGAGGTTATCTCATTAGTCCCTGGGCAAACGGCCAACATGCTTTGGGCAATCCCACAGCGGTTAGCAGATACCTAAGGACTGAACCATCACAATTCGCTCCCTTTGCTCCTCCTCTGAAAGAACAGATATATCCCTGAAAGCTTACTAAATCCAATTTCCCAGCCACCATTCCAGGGCAGTCATAGACTTATGGCTCGGGTTGCGTGGAAATGTGATCTTCCCATAAACAACTTTCCTTAGCTCTCATTCTGTCTACCCAGACTTCTGTGCAACACAATGACTGCCTGCTTGTGGGCTGTGCACACTGGCCGTAGTATGCCAAGCTGGTCTCTCTGTTCCCCCTTTGCTCTAGATGGCAGGGCAGAGAACTATGGAGGCTTTCATAGCCAATTAGCTCTAACAAGGCAGCACTGGCTGCAAGAACAGAGACCACTGAGGTCAGGGAAGGGCTTGTGATACACTTGGACACTGACAGTGGGCTGTGCGCATGCCCGGGTGTCTGATCCCTTCGTCAGTCATCCTCCTCTTGCAGCTCCTCCCGTCTATGTTCTCTCCATGTATGAAGGCCAGGCACATTCCACTCCTGCCCAGAACTCTATGGTGATTTCTCATTGCTCCATGCTCCTAGCTCTGCTCAAGGTCCCAGGCATCCCCAACAACTGCTCTCAGCTCCCTGTCACTCATCACCTCATTTCTTACTACGGCCACCACCGATGCTCTGCTGCAGCCAACAGATCTGTTCACCAACTCCGACTCCACCTTCACGTGTTCAAGGAAGTAGCCGCTGAGTTCTATTGGCCTAGGTGTGTTCAGCCTAGTCTGACACTGGACACACATTGAAGCATTCAGGACATTTTGAATCAATCAGTGACTAGGTTCACGAGGAGGTTGTAATGATTAAATGAGACAACCCTTGTGAAGCACTGGGCACAGAGCCTGAGCACAGACTAAGCTCTCAACAAGTAGCAGCTGTGTGATCGCTATTATGCAGGAACCACCTATGCCCCTCATGCATTCTCACTCTGTTCCCTGCATATCCCTGCATCCAACAAGAAAGCCAAAGCTAACAGGCCTTGTTAAGCTTCCTTCCTGTGCTTTGCATTTGGAGTATGTAGGTATATCACCTATGCCTTTTCAAATTATAACCACCTCCTCCCCTTGTCCGTCATTAAAACTCACTACTACAGAGAAGTATGATGTGCCCTCTGTCATCATGGAACCTCAAAACCAGAGGAGAGACAGGACCAACACACTTAGACTTGAATACATTTTCTGCCACCTTGAGTCCTTCCCTTTCTTTTCCCATAAATTCGTGTTCGCTCCATTAAAATGGTGCTTAAAAGTTTTCTTTTGCCCACCATTCCTCACAGAGCCAATCATTCCATTACTCCATTTTGCCCTAGAATGAGCCTGCACATTCCTGACTTTCATCTCCCAGTAACCATTGCAGGTGTTGCCTTCTGTTCTATGGGTTCTACAGTGAGGGATGGGGAAGACTCTATTTTCTAGTCCAGCACCCAATACAGGATGCCCAATATAGGAGTTTTCACAAGAAATTTATGGAAAGCTGACTCATGATTAATGGGAATATAAATATCCAGATCATGAGGAATCCACCAGAAACTTTAATTTCACCAATAGTTTTAATTTTCTTTCCTGCCTGCACCTGACCCTCATCCCAACTTCTAATCAAAGGTGTTAACAATGATAATAACACCCTAATTTGGGTGTGTTTTTTCCAGGCTATTCTCCATTAATGAACAAGTGGACTGGACGAGATGAAGAGAAAAAGAAGCCAAGCCCTTGAACTTAGGACTTAACTTTTAGAAGAAGACAGGGCTGCCTTACATTCGAGTTCCCTCAGTTCTCAGGCCTGCCTCTCCCCATGACAGACCTTCCATTCCTGGCCACAAGTCCTAAGTGTCAGAAAGCAGGTCCCTACCATCTTCTTCTTGGTGAACTCCATCACCATCTGGTCTGCCAGCTTCTCCTGAGCCTGCAGCTCTGCTTTCTGTCTCTGGCTCTCATCGTTGATGCGCTTAATCTCAGCTTGCAACTTCAGTTTCTCCTGGTGCCTTCGTTCCATGTCCTGCCAGCAAAAGGAAGAGAGCCTCAGGGTAGAAGGGGACACAACCTAAAGATACTGGCATATAAGGATAAAGTGACACACATAGATGCAGAGACACAAATGCTTCCATAGCTATTCTTTGTTAAAGCTGTCATATATATATCAGAGAGGAAGGGAGAGATAGAAACATCAATGATGAGAGAGAATTATTGATTGGCTGCCTTCTGCACACTTGGGATCGAGCCTGCAACCCGGGCATGTGCCCTTGACCAGAATCAAACCCAGGACCCTTCAGTCCACAGGCCGACGCTCTATCCACTGAGCCAAACTGGCTAGGGCAACGCTGTTCTTTCAAGGGTTGTCAATGACCTCTTCCAGGCAAATGGCCTCTTTACAGTCTTCATCCAACTTGACTTTGTGGCAGCCCCTCACACTGTTGATCTATTTATATTCAGGAAGTGGAGAATTTAAAAATTCTAATCAGTGTCTTGCACATGTCATGCCAAACCCCATTCCTATGGCTTTGCTCATGATGTGTTTCTCCTGTCTTCAATTTCCTTCTACTTAAACCCAAACTTTTGGTCATCATTAGTAGTGACGATTTCAATAATAAGTATTGCCCTAATTGGAAACTTCCTATTCATTGACCACGTGGCCTCTTTCTAGCACTGAAACACATCCCAAACCCCTGAAAGTTAAGCCTTGTTATCTCTCTCATGCAAATGAAGATGAGGCCCAGAGTTTAAGTAATTTGCCCAGAGCCAAATAGCTACTAAACTGCAGAGCCGGAATTTTGAAACCTGAGCTGTCTACATTAAAGTTCCAACCTTCTCTGGAAATCTTGCTTGATTGCCCCAAGCTTCAATTCTCTCTTCCTTGCTTAATGTCTGCACACCTCCTGGGATTTAATAGCATAGCACCTGGTAGGTCCCATGCATTTCCTGTGTGTTCATCTGTCACAGCTAGAGAACAGGGGCCATGTGTCACACTACCTCTCTTTGTCAACAACATGTAGCCCAATTGAGAGAAAAACAGAAAATACTCAACAAACTATTGCTAAATGAGATAACTACTGATAAAGAAAAACAAAAACAACTTAGACACAGAAACACAGGGAGTGATAGAGATCAGAGAACCAAGGTGACACTGAGTGACAAGATGCCCTCTGAGGAAGGAGCCTCTGCCTTTCCCAGCGCCCAGCCTTTGGAAGCTCCTGATTACCAGGCCACTTCTGAGCCCAGCACATCTTCAGGCCCCAATGTGGAGGGTCACTGGAATTTTGTGCAGCTGCCTCCCTACACCCTCTATCAGACTCCTTGCTTCAAACTCTTCTACCCATTGACTCACCCTATGTCCCACACTGTTTCCAGCTCCCTCCATTCCTTCAAAGGCGAAACCCCTCCCTGGTCTTCCAGCACCTCCACAGCCCAGCTTCTACCCTGACTCACCCAAGCAATTCTACCAGCTCCCCACAGCCTGATTCACAGCCCAGTTCACGGTTCCTTCTTCCAGGAAGCCTTCTGAGCCAGCTTAGCCCAGCACATCCGCCTCTAACCAGGTCCGTGGGGGGCCCGAGTCATGGCTACCCGCACTCTCACCGTACCCACCTCCTCACACACTCCACGTTTCCCCTTTTGCCACCCCAACTCTTATACTCTTTTTTCCCCTTCTCCCTTTCCTCCTTTCCTTTCTACCTTCTCCCGCACCACCACCCTCCCCACACCCGTTTTAGGCCTCCAGTGTCATTGGTACCCCAGACATTACTTAATCCCATTGACTCTCAAAGCTAAAAAAGCTGCCGACCTCTGATCTAAGACATACAATCATATATGTATTGATTTATTTCTTTGCCTATTTATTTACTTTTTTAATTTGTTGTCTTTGTTGGTTCATTTCATTTCTAAGATACCA